GCGGGGGAGGGGGCCAGGCCTGCAGACGCAAGGCTTGGGCAGCACGGGGGCAGGCCCGTCCCTCCGGCGTGGAGCCGCACAGGACCCAAATGCTGCCAGAAGCACCTTCCCCTCCATGCCTGCCCCTGCGACTGCCTCGGGGGGACAGGAGAGGAGCGGAGGCCAAGAGACCTGGGTTCCAGGCGGGGCAGCTGCTGCCTCATTGTGAGACTGGGAGAGTGCACACGCCGTGCCTCAGTTTCCCTGGCCCTATACCGAGACGATGACACTGTCCCTCCCTTTAACGTGCTTTCAGATGCTCTGGGCAGCTGCTCTGTCCCTGGGGCACGTGGGTTCCCTGCCACGCAGCTCTCTCCTGCTGGGAGGGACTCCCGGCGGCCCCCACGCGGGTGCCGGGGCCTGCTGGATGAGCCGCCAGCTGCGGGCCTGGCTTTCCCCCGGGGCCTCTGCGCGGCCTGGACTCACTCAGCCCAGCTCCCTGCCCTCCATCGCAGCATCTCACCAGGGCTCCCCCGACACTGCCCACCCCCAGGGCTGGCCAGGCCTCCGTGGAGCAGGCTACGCGTCAGGGGCCACAGGCGTCTGCAAGGTTCCGGAGCAGCCCGAGGCCACAGAGACCCTTCCCCGAGCATTAGAGCTTCCTGCCCAGCGGTGAGACTCCGAGCCGGGGGTCCTGGCAGCTCAGCCTGCCTCCCCGGCAGGGCAGGGCCAGTTGTTTCCCCGGCAGGGTATTTGCAAGGGACTCTGGCTCCTGCTAACCCGAACAGGGGTGGTGGCAGCTCTCATGAGAAACGGGCGGAGCAGCAGCGCCCCTGCCCCGCGGCAGCGGCCGCTCACCTTGAACTGCTGGTGGTCGTAGCGGTCGTGGATCACCACGAAGCGCAGGTCGAATCTCCGGGAGAGGTCGAAGAGGTGATCGGTCTCCGCCTTGGTCCAGGCATCGTCGTGCAGGTACATCTGATACTCCTGCTCCGAGTACACGGGCACCTGCACCGTCTGCACGGGGGAGGGAGGGACCTCACTCATCGTGCTGCCCCCCGGAGGCGGAGCCTCTCTCCAACTGCTCCCGGCGGCAGCGTCGGAGAAACCAAACCCACCCGGCACAGGAGGGCCAGGGGCCGCCAGTCTCTGCCCACCTGGTGCCCATCGCCATGTGGGCCCACGCCCCGGGGCAGCGGCTGCCAGGACGGAGCTACGGGGCAGGCTCACGAGGGGCCCCCCAGGGGCTATTTGGTAATTGTCCCGAGGCATTTCCAACGTGCCTATCGCCAGGGGCCCAGCCCTGCCCAGACCGCCGAGCAGTCTCACTTCCTCCAATCACGGGGCGGCACTCCACCAAGGGGCCCAACCACCGGCTCAGCCGCGGCCCCCTCCCCCTCTCAACTGCAGCCCTCCCACGTGCCGCTTTCCACCTGCTCTCCCAGCCCCAGGAAGCTACATGCCAGGCTGTGGTCACTGGCTCAGGCCCGGCCCGAAAGCAAGCAACCTTGCATTCTGCAAAGCCCTTTCCACCCCAGTCCCTCCCCTCCCGCAGCAGCACCCCGGCACTCCCGGGGACCTAGCAACCAAGGGAGCCTCGTCTGCTGTTGCATATTCCCCCCCCTTCCCCCCCCCCACCAACTGGGAGCCCCCCCACAGCCAGCAACCGGCCCTCTATTCCCCCAGCCCACGAATTTGTACGTTGGATGGGCCCCCGCCACGGGCCACCCACCCAGCAGTCACCTGCTCTCTTGCCCACCATCCGTGGCCTTTCCACGTGGCCAGCTGGCACTCACTCCACATCTGGCATCGGCCGCTGCCAGAGGCAGGACACCGTGTGGGGTGGCCCTGGGGTCCGCTCCAGGCTGGCAATCCAGCTGCCTGGCTCCCTAGTGGGGTTTTGGCCCGGAGCTCGACAGGCTGACCCGACATCCAGCGAGGGAGAGCACGGAGACTGGAGGGGGTCCGGAAGCAAGTGGGGATGGAGAACTCGGGGGAAGAGAGATCAACCGAGGGCCCTGGGGGGAGGAACTGTAACCCAGAGGGTGATGAAAAACTAAGGAGAAAACAGACAGGCAAAAAGGTCCAGCTTGGGGAGACGGGACAAACGAGGCTGCGCCCACTAGAGCACGCTCCCCTGAGGAGCATGGAACAGAGGCCAAGATCCTGGGGTCTCTTCCCCCCCGCCTCAGCAGCCCCTCTTGTGCTGGTCCACACAGAGAGAGGACGGCGACGCCTCCTGCACGGCCCCCCACCCCTAGCACCGGAGATGAACCGCGTGAGCGGCGCTGCGAGGCCGGGCGAGGAAGCCCAGGGAATTCCACACACACGACAACGAACGGCTGCAAAGCAGGGACGCGAAAGGCCAGAAGTCAGGCGGCCTCCTGGGCACACGCAGGACACAACCTGTACGTAGCGAGCACGGGCCCACTTGTCCAGCTCGGCCGGGCACGCCCCGGGATGAATCAGCCTGTTGCTTGAGACTCTGAGGTCTGATCTGCAGAAGCCAATGGAAGCTGCGTTTGGATCACAGCAAGTGTCATTTCATGCTACCCGAAAAAGCCAGGTCTTCGCTGGCTCACGTTGAGCACCCAGAATTCGGAGCTACTTCTGGATTTTAACCTCTCTCGGGCCTCAATTTCCCTGCTGTGAATGGAGAGAAGGACACCCCATCACCTCGTATCACCTGGGAATACCGAGATCCTCCAGCAGTGAGCCCCACAGCAAAGCCGACGAGGAAATTAGCCAGTCTGGTTTCCCAGGAGGGTTTGAATGGCGCGCGCGCTGTAAGGCAGGGGTGACAATGAGCCTCGGCTCATGAAGTATCATCCACTCTGCAAGATGAATGAAGCAGAGGTCCTATGGACAAACAGTATGAGCCAGGGAGCTGAATTAAGGTTGTTCAGGCAACCTTGATTCTGGCATTTCAGTGTTTGATTTTGCAACCTTCATCATGTTCCTTTAACAGGGGTTGGTGAGTGTGGCGTACATGAAGTGAAAACACTCTGCACTGATCTGAAGCTGACGACAGAAGCTATTTATAACAGCACACAGCAGCATTTCCCACTGCACAGGGAGGGCGCGTCTGCCCAGCACCTTAAACTCGCAATAAGATGCGCTATTTGCGCTAGGCAACTTGAGTATCTTATTTTGATTGTATTTCGAAATCACTTATTTCTAAATGGGGCGCATCTACAGAGTGCCAAATTTCGAAATAATGCGCTATTTTGACATGCCCTTTAACTCATGGAACGAGGGCTACAGGGATGTCGAAATAGCACTCCCGTTATTTCGAAACGGGCGTGTTTAAAAGAGGCGGGGTATCCCGAAATAGCCCCGCTCTCTAGACATACCCTTAGCAACTTACACTAGCGATGCGCTCTAGGACAGGAAGGGGAGTATACGATACTCAGTGCGCCACATTTTCAGTTTTATCCATTTTCACAGGCAAATTCTCCGGGTTTCTAACCAACAGGGCTCAGTTTTTCCAGATTTATGCCCATTTAGCTATCAATCCACTCGGGATTTTCTTCGGGGCTTCTTTCTGTTAAACGCTAGCACTTTCCGCGACAGACACTGCAGCAGTTCCGCCGTGTCAAATGCAGCCCCCCACGGCGGCGGTCGGAAGACCCGAGCGACGGCAGCAGCGTGCAAAGCCTGGCTCACGAGGAAACACTGCCTGCCTGTTTCTCTGCACCCGTTTCGTGCGACGCGGAATTTGCGCAATCACGCCTCTACGGATCAAGGTCAGGTGCCGGGGGACAGGTGAATGCACACCCTGATACCAACAAGGAAACGAGTGCTGAGACATTGCACAGGTAAAGACGGGCGCGGGGAGGCTGCCTGGTGCGGCAGCACCACAGCCGCGGGGTCAGTGTTCGTCTTGACAGAATGAGGGAGCATGTTAAAAGCAAGCAAGGCAGCAAGCCTGAGGAAGAAAGCGAGCTATGGTCCACAGTCAACACCCGGAGCTTCCACCGGGGCCTTGCAGCCTGCCAAGACACATCATCCCTAGGATTGCCGGGAACACCACAAAGCCTGCAGGACTGATCCTGTGGACTTAGCTTTGGCAAAGTAGAGCGATACGGGAGGGTTACGTCATTTTTAAAAAGAATGCCGTGTGTTTGTATAGATCGGTAAGAACGATGCAAGACCCCCCGTGGGGAAATCTCCAGTCGGGCCTTCGGTACACAGATGCTGTGACTCAGTCTCGTGGTGCTCAATAAGTCCAAAACCGGCCAAGCTTAGCTAACTGCAGAGAGCAGGGTTCCTGGTACCTAACCACAAGATTTCCCACTTTTCCTTTGCTGGGAACCATTCCAAGGAGGCGCCAAGTGATGTCACCATAGATGCCCAGAGATCACCCTCCAATCAAGGTGTACCCACAGAATCTGGGGGTGCAACAGTCCAGCTCTGGTGAGGGGTTGGACATTATGACGCAACGAGAGGGATAAAAAACTATGGAAGTAAGGAAGCTCGGTCTGCTGCGGCCACGGCTCTCCGGGGGTGCTCCCTTGTTCTCTCTGGAGGCCACACTCCTCTCTCAGTATCTCTCTGCCTTGCGTCATCTATTCTGTCCCAGTCTTGCTTCTAACTATTCCATACTCCACCCTGCACCCAGGTCCCTCGGGTTCTCCCATGCTCGGCCGTTGGGCAGAGGATTATGCGAGTATGGTATCATATCGGGTAACTAGATCTGTACACTTAGACAAGTACAATGTATACGACAAATCTGATGAATGTTATCATCAGAGGAGAGTCCGTTAATCTGCACACTCCGGGTTGTATGCCTTGTTCTCTCTGCCATTTTAATACCTGTCAGCATAAGGCTTGTTTTAATGTGGTATTGCCTGCTGTTCTGGACCCCCCGGCCCTCTAGAAACAGAACTCTATGTTTCTGCCAAGCTGCGACCTGGCGTACGGAGGACGAACCTAGAACCTTCGAGTCAGACTGGCGAGACTTACCCACAGAAATATCGCTATAAACCCTGCCCAGGCTGAGAGTCAATGAAAGGGAGGACGCAGCGCTGCCACGGAAACGAATCTGTCATTTCACCCCACCACTGCGCTTAACTGCAGAGAAGCCTAGGGGTGACTTTACGTAACAATACTGTCCAGCAGCGAGCCCCCTTCCTAATGGCAGACCACCTCACGCATAAGCATCTGAAAGCAAATGACGATGCCGGAGGAGCTAAATTGATGGGGCGACTTGACGGAAATGCAGCGTCCAGTCTGATTTCTGATGAGTCTCCTGATGCTTCGGACTGTCAGATTCTTGGCCTTTTGTTTTCAGGTTTTGATTAAACCTGCATTGGCTTGTGCTGACGTGACATTCCTCTCCTCTCTGACACCTGTTCTCTCGACGCAGCAATAGCTGGCATGTTTGAGACATACCCGCTAACTTGGGAAAACACTAACATCGACTCTGCTTCCTGCATAGTTGGCCTGGAGATTGAACTCACTCAGAAATCGGAGCTGCTATATACGAGCTGTCCTGCCCAGCTGATTACCATTGCACTGCCCGAGGCTACGGCTACAGAAGGCATGAAAAACACAGAGTCTCGCAGCGTTAGCTATCATCTTTGGAAAATCATGGAAGACAGGAGAGATTCCAGAAGATTGGAAGAGGGGAAATCCAGTGCCCATCTATAAAAAGGGAAATAAAAACAACCCAGGAAACTACAGGCCAGTCAGTTTAACCTCTGTGCCAGGAAAGATAATGGAGCAAGTAATTAAGAATATCGTCTGCAAACACTTGGAAGATAATAAGGTGATAGGGAACAGCCAGCGTGGATTTGTAATGAACAAATCATGTCAAACCAATCTGATAGCTTTCTTTGATAGGATAACGAGTATTGTGGAGAAGGGAGAAGCGGTGGACGTGGGATACCTAGACTTTAGTAAGGCATTTGAAATGGTCTCGCATGATATTCTTATTGATAAACTAGGGAAATACAACCTAGATGGGGCTACTATAAGGTGGGTGCATAACTGGCTGGATAACCATACTCAGAGAATAGTTATGAATGGTTCACAATCCTGCTGGAAGGGCAGAACAAGTGGGGTTCCGCAGGGGTCTGTTTTGGGACCGGTTCTGTTCAATATCTTCATCCACGATTTAGATATCGGCATAGAGAGGATGCTTATTAAGTTTGCAGATGATCCCAAGCTGGGAGGGGTTGCGACTGCTTTGAGGATAGGGTCATAATTCAAAATGATCTGGACAAACTGGAGAAATGGTCTGAGGTAAAGGGGATGAAGTTTAATAAGGACAAATGCAAAGTGCTCCACTTAGGAGGGAACAATCAGTTTCACACATACAGAATGGGCAGCGACTGTCTGGGAAGGAGTACGGCAGAAATGGATCTAGGGGTTATAGTGGACCACAAGCTAAATATGACTCAACAGTGTGATGCTGTTGCAAAAAAAGCAAACACGACTCTGGGATGCATTAACAGGAGTGTTGTGAGCAAGACACGAGAAGTCATTCTTCTGCTCTACTCTGCGCTGACTAGGCCTCAGCTGGAGTATTGTGTCCAGTTCTGGGCGCCACATTTCAAAAAAGATCTGGAGAAATTGGAGAGGGTACAAGAGAAGAGAAGAGCAACGAGAATGATGAAAGGTCTGGAGAACATGACCTATGAAGGAAGACTGAAAGAATTGGGCTTGTTTAGTTTGGAAAAGAAAAGATCGAGAGGGGACATGATACCTTTCAGGTATCTAAAAAGGTGTCTCAAGGAGGAAGGAAAAAACATGTTCATCTTGGCCTCTGAAGATAGGACAAGACGCAATGGGCTTAAATTGCAGCAAGGGAGATTTAGGTTGGACATTAGGAAAAACTTCCTACCTGTCAGGGTGGTTAAACACTGGAATAAATTGCCCAGGGAGGTTGTGGAATCCCCATCTCTGGAGATATTTAAGAGTAGGTTAGATAAATGTCTATCAGGGATGGTCTAGACAGTATTTGGTCCTGCCGTGTGGGCAGGGGACTGGACTCAATGACCTCTCGAGGTCCCTTCCAGTCCTAGTATTCTATGATTCTGTGATTAGATCGGGGCCGTTTTCAAGAATGCGAACAAGCTGAAAGCTTTGCTTTACATCGAGCAAGATGAGAGCAGGACTGACTAGTGATTACTTACCCCTGTTGTGCCACATTGATGGGTGAGCATGTAGTATGCTGCCTGTCATATCAAAGACATATGAACTGTGCTAACATGTGTCCTAGATCGCCCTGAGTTTGTTAGTTCTTAGGCAAAAACTCTGCAGATCACCAGAATGCACCAGATTCTGCACACCAAGATAATGTTCACTGCTGAAAACTTGGAATCACAGTGTGACACAGGAAACCCTGGAGTTTTCTCTGACTACTGTCCAAATGTTTGTCAAGACAGACGTTTATAGGATCCTGACAACCAAGGTCTCCATCGAACTTAGCACAAAAGCTGCAAGCGAAAGTTACTGTGAGAAAACTCAGCTGTTTTTAGAAATCCTTTCAGCCGCAGAACATGAGAGAACAAAAAAGCATTCAACCCCTTCCGCGCAGTACTCAGCGTGGAACGGGAGATGGCCGCGGCTCGTAACCCGAACCTCACAGCATTCGGGGCCAAAGAGTCTTTTTGGAAGCTCACTCAGGAATTGCACCAGCCTATTATGTAAGAGGGTTTCACCCATTTGCCGCGAGAGATGACATCAAATCTGAGAGGGGACTTTCCTACTTACTTGCCTAAGCCTGACAATGCAAAATTGGAAGTGCTGGCATTTTGGAACAGTCACCAAGACACTTGCCAACTTCAGTGAGGTGGCACCATGCGCTTTGAGGGTGCCCCTAGATCTATCAAGGCAGAGCGCTTATTTTGGATTACCTCCAAGACAGCTAGAGGCTCAACATGAGTGAGGATACTTAGAAGAAAAGCATGCAAACCAGGATTTCGGGAAAAACCACTAGCTGACAGAGATTAAATGCACCTTTATACATTAAAAAAAGTGTAAATTATACTGTAGTAAAATATCGATATTACAAAAGGTTTTTTTGTTTTTCTTCTCATCTCTCACCCCGATTTTCTTATCCTTAACCCAATTTAATACCCGTTTCAATGTTTGGAAAATAAATACTGAAAAATTCCCCATTTTGTTTAATGACAACTGAGAATGTGGAACACATAACCAAAACCCCAGTGGAAATTTCTGGCAGATGGAGCATAATTATCTGATAGGTGGGTGCATAACTGGCTGGATAACCAATCCCAGACAGTAGTTATTAATGGTTCACAGTCATGCTGGAAGGGCAGAACAAGTGGGGTTCCGCAGGGGTCTGTTCTGGGACCGGTTCTGTTCAATATCTTCAGCAACGATTTAGATTTTGGCATACAGACTACGCTTATTAAGTTTGCAGACGATACCAAGCTAGGAGGGGTCGCAAGTGCTCTGGAGGATGGGTCATAATTCAAAATGATCTGGACAAGCTGGAGAAATGGTCTGAGGTAAACAGGATGAAGTTCAATAAGGACAAATGCAAAGTGCTCCACTTGGGAAGGAACAATCAGTCTCACACATACAGAATTGGAAGTGACTGTCTAGGAAGGAGTCCTGCAGCAAAGGATCTAAGGGTCATAGTGGACAACAAGTTAAACATGAGTCAACAGTGTGACATTGTTGCAAAAAAAGCAAACAAGATTCTAGGATGCATTAACAGGAGTGTTGTGAGCAAGACACAAGAAGTCATTCTTCCGCTCTACTCTGCGCTGATTAGGCCTCCGTTGGAGTATTGTGTCCAGTTCAGGGCACCACGTTTCAAGAAAGATGTGGAGAAATTGGAGAAGGTCCAGGGAAAAGCAACAAGAATGATGAAAGGTCTAGAGAACATGAGTTATGAGGGAAGGCTGAAGGAATTGGGCTTGTTTAGTTTGGAAAAGAGCAGACTGAGGGGGGACATGAGAGCGGTTTCCAAGTATCTGAAAGGGTGTCACAAGGAGGAGGGAAAAACTGTTCTCCTTGGCCTCTGAGGACAGGACAAGACGCAAGGGGCTTAAACTGCAGCAAGGGAGGATGAGGTAGGACTTTAGTAAAAACTTCCCAACTGTCAGGGTGGTTAAACAGTGGAATAAATTGCCTGGAGAGGTTGTGGAATCTCCATTGCTGGAGATATTTAGGAGCAGGTTAGACAAACACCTGTCAGGGATGATCTAGACCAGCGGTCTTCCTGGAGGGTCACAGCTCTGGGCCAGCCGC